TTCATCTGAGCTGCGACGTGAGCGTATTCTTCATCGGTCATAGTAGGGTACGAAGGCCAACTCTCGGGTGTTAGGATGAGTCCCTGAGCACTGGCTTCGTCACAACTTGGAAATGCACATGGTCAACGCTTTGCCCGGCTCTCATACCGTTGTTCTGATCGTCGTGTTAACTTAACGCGCAAACATAGAGAGCAGGAGCTCTTTTTTTTTTTGATTCCAATTCTATGTCCATTGAGAGTGATACTCTATGTAGGACAATACGAGCTAGTCATGGAGCCCCATACTCCGTCCCTTAGTCACAACCCCAAATGCACTGGTGTAAGGCGCACCCCACCAGTCGTTCCTGCCGGCCGTTTTGAGGGGCGATGTAAATGACTAAGCGACGACTGTATGTAAGTTTGCGTGATGAGAGGTCTAGATATCGTGAAGATCTATAAGTAGTCTACATATGCATGAATTTTTTTGAGTGAGTTGAGCAGTGCGTTGAGGTGTTTTGAACATTTTGCATATTACATGCATGTTGCAGATATCTACCCGGAATGATAGTATGTACTATATATTGATATACAAGTGATTATATTTTGTCCACCAGTTCACTGATGGCTTCGGGGCTGGGTGATAAGGTTGACAGACACCCAGCGACGGGCCAGCATGTCGGTGTAGAAGAGTCAACAAATACATTTTTTCGCCACGGCTTTGGACTGCAAACCTCACCTATTGGACCGTCAATTTTTCACACGAAGCATTATTATCATTGATCAAAGACACTGCCAGGCCGCCCAACGCCCTTGATTTGCGTCCGAATGGTGAGCTAGACCGACCCGTCACCCAGCCATCTTGCCATCTCTGCTGCTCTCTCTTCGCTTCGCAAAACGTGGGTCTAAAACGGATGCTGATGCGGCTGCAGAGTTACTGAACGAATTTGCCACGCCAACAGTCACGTTTACAGAGCAACTTTGCTTGCAATCGACCATCCACTCAGCATTCGGCTGGAAGCAATCTTGGGCAGGAGCGCAGCTGCATTCATGCTTCCGTTATCGCCTAATCAACTTGCTTATTGAGCAGACCGGTTTTGCGCATAGATGATCCCTTTGACTTAAATGAAGTGATATCCCTTCATTACAATGCACTGGGATACTACAAACACCGTGCATGATTGTCGAGGGCAATTGCTTGGCAATCTGAGTGTACTGCTGATCACTCGGTTCAGGCATCGAGGTAGTGCCGAAGACTTGGATCAGGCTATTGCATTTCAGAGGGAAGCGCTGGCTTTGCACCATGTCAGTCACACAGGTTGGATCATGTCAACCAATAATCTTGCGAATCAACTCTCCACCCGCTTTCGTCATCGAGGCAATGCCGAAGACTTGGATGAGGCTATTGCACTTCAGAGGGAAGTGCTAGCATTATGCCCTGTTGGTCACACATATTGGTCCGACATTGAATAATCTTGCGAATTGACTCTCTACCACGCTTTGATCATCGAGGCAATGCCGAAGACTTGGATGAGGCTATTGCACTTCAGAGGGAAGCGCTGGCATTGTGCCCTTTCGGTCACACAGATCGGTCCAAGCCATTGAATAATCTTGCGGCTCATCTCTTCACACCCGCTTTCGTCATCGAGGCAATGCCGAAGACTCAGATCATGCTATTGCACTTCTGAGAGAAGCGCTGGCTTTGCGCCCTGTCGGGCACACAGATTGGTCCTTGTCATTGAATAATCTTGCGGCTCATCTCTTCACCTGCTTTCGTCATTGAGGCAATGCCGAAGACTTGGATGAGGCCATCACACTTCAGAGGGAAGCGCTGGCATTGTGCCCTGTCGGTCACACAGATTGGTTCTTGTCATTGAATAATCTTGCGACTCACCTCTCTACCCCGCTTTCATCACAGAAGCAATGCTGAAGACTTGGATGAGGCTATTGCACTTCAGAGGGAAGCGCTGGCATTGTGCCCTTTCGGTCACACATATCGGTCCTCGTCATTGAATAATCTTGCGAATCGACTCTTCACCCGCTTTCATCACCGAGGCGATGTCGAAGACTTGGATGAGGCTATTGCACTTCAGAGGGAAGCGCTGGCATTGTGCCCTGTCGGTCACACAGATCGGTTCTTGTCATTGAATTATCTTGCAACTCGACTCTCCACCCGCTTTGATCATCGAGGCAATGCCGAAGACTTGGACGAGGCTATCACACTTCAGAGGGAAGTGCTGGCATTGTGCCCTGTCGGTCACACAGATCAGTCCTTGTCATTGAATAATCTTGCGACTCGACTCTCCACTCGCTTTGATCATCGAGGCAATGCCGAAGACTTGGATGAGGCTATTGCACTTCAGAGGGAAGCACTGGCATTGTGCCCTGTCGGTCACACAGATCGGTCCTTGTCATTGAATAATCTTGCGACTCGACTCTCCACCTGCTTGATGATCACCGAGACAATGCCGAAGACTTGGATGAGGCTATTGCACTTCAGAGGGAAGCGCTGGCATTGTGCCCTGTTGGTCACAGAGATCAGTCCTCGTCATTGGGTGGTCTTGCGGTTCAGCTCTCCGCCCGCTTTGATCACCGAGGCAATGTTGAAGACTTGGATGAGGCTATCGCACTTCAGAGGGAAGCGCTGGCATTGTGCCCTGTTGGCCACACAGATCGGTCCAAGTCATTGAATCATCTTGCGATTTATCTCTCCACCCGCTTCGATCACCGAGGCAATGCCGAAGGCTTGGATGAGGCTATTGCACTTCAGAGGGAAGCGCTGGCTTTATGCCCTGTCGGTCACACAGATCAGTCTGCGTCATTGAATAATCTTGCGACTCAACTCTCCACCCGAGGCAATGCCAAAGATCTCAATGAGTCACGAGACAATCTCCGCTGTGCCTTAACTCTGTCTATGCAACATGATTCTCGTCAATTACAGGTCCATATTTTGCTAGCTAATGTCTATCTGTCCTTCCATCAATCAGGACTTGACGGCACTGTCCCAGGTGAAGATACTAACAATATGAATGCTGCCATGCATCATTTCAAGGCAGCAGTAAATGTCGTCCTTGCAGGTTTTCTATGTCGCCTGCAAGCAAGTCTGCGCTGGGTTGGTCATGCTAGCCAACATTCACATGGTACTCAGCTAGAGGCTTATGCGACTTCCATGCAACTTCTAGACACTTACATGTCCACCACAGCTTCAGTATCGTCTCGTCATAATGCTATGAAGGACTTTCCGGGTACGCTTGCCGTAGATGCTGCATCATGTGCTCTTCGTAGCGGTGATGTCTGTCATGCTGTTGAGTTGTGTTGAGTTGTTGGAACAAGGCAGGACTCTCATCTGGACACAGATGACATGACTCCGCACGCCTCTTGATAGCCTCCAGACTCGCGGGGATCATGCAGTGGCCCTGATGGAGAGATTCAGAGACCTCAGCTCCCTCCTTGATAAATCTCCTGCGAGTCATCCAGAAGGGTCCCGAAGCATTGCTGCAGAAGCAGAAGCAACCCGGTACAGACGTCTAGTGGAAGACTGGAATAGAGTTGTGGAAGAGATCCGGAAGGTCGAGGGCTTCTCTCACTTCCTACTTCCTCCTTTGTTCTCTGATCTTCAAGATGCAGCTCGTGATGGACCCGTGATCGTGTTGATCGCAAGCGAGTCGTCTTGCAAGTGCCATTATTGTCGGCACCACCAATCCCCCGACTGGCATTCAACTCCCTACCAATTTTTTGAAACTTGTCAGACTGGTTGCTTGCACTCCAGGAGGGAATTAATAAAGAGGCCAGTCCTAAAGGGAACCAACCAGCACTGACGAAAGCCTTGAGGGAGTTGTGGAACGACGTCGTTCAACCCAGTGGTCGAGATTCTTGGCGGATGTACATGACGAGGTTCCCGAATATGGTGGTGCCCGACGTCTCTCTTCAATTTCTTGCCATTGCACGCTGCCGGCGAGTATAGGGAAAATGGAGAGTCCCCTTTTGCAGCAATATATCTCTTCATACACGCCATCGCTTACCGCGCTGCTGAGGGCCCGCAGAAGTCACGACAGGTCACCGTCGGCGGCCTTTGCTGCCATTGGCCAGAATCTCCCGGATGGCGCTTCATTCATGTTGAATGGTGTGGAACCTGAGCTAGATTTAGTGCAGAGTCCTTTTACCCCCTTCCCCAACAGTTTCCTTCACCAAGATAATGAGCGTCGATTGCAATGAAATTGAGAGTACTATACACATTGCGAGACAATACTTGGCTCCATCTCTCGTGCCACGGGACACAAAAACTTGACGAACCCTTCAAGTCGGCCTTTCTCATGCGCGACCAACCACTTTCGCTCCTCGATATCACCCAAATAGATCTCTCTCGGTATCAATTTGCATTTATTTCTGCCTGTGAAACTGCAGTCAGTGACTTGAGTACGCCCAATGAAGTGATACACCTAGCAGCTGGCCTGCAATTCGCTGGGGTTAAGAGCGTCATTGGGACATTATGGAAGGTCAACGATAGTACTGTGCAGCACCATCAGGAAAACCACCAGTCCCTTTTTCCCGCTTATGTTACTTTTTATGCTTAATATGAAATAAATCCAACTGAAAACACTGCTTTTCCCACTTAATTGACTTTTGCGAAAGCGCATTAAGACACACTTAGGCTCACAAGTCCAGACCACCAAAAAAGCGAGAAAAGTTGTATTTACGCAATAAGTGATAAATGGTAGTAGTACTAGTAGTACTAAGTCACCCGTTCTCCTTGCCGTTAATCCGAGTCGTGGTTCAAACGTCGAAGGTAAAGCGTCGTAACAAGCGCTCATGCAGGTGTAGCAAACATGCACACCACTCGCAGAAGGGTGGCCAAGCACATCGAGCTGTCTTGTAGTAGTTTTGCGTCATTTGTATGTAGTATAAATGAGCAGTGAACGTTACTTACCTTGGTGTAGTACTAGAGGTCGTGCGTGGTACAGAAGCACCGCGCTTTAGAAAGCGGTGCTTGTCTGAAAGAAGAAGGTGTCGGGAGAGGCTGATTTGGCAAATACTATCAGTAAGTACGGACAACGATACAAGCTGAGCATCCACTCACCTACAACACGCTCAACTGTGAGAATGATGGGCCCTCACGATCCTGTAGGTGGCCTGTGTGCTATGTAGATGGCCGATCACTGACGAGTGTGATCAACAGGAGTTAGTCTGAGCGCCTGACTCTTGTGGAAACGACACCACAGGTCTATCAGTAGACAAGGACTGAGGGCGACGGCGGCTGGTTGAGGCAGATCGGCTAGACATGCCACCGGATGTGGTGGATGAGGCAGTTGGGGACGAGGGTGGGGTTGTGGAGGAGGTTGAGAGGCTTTCTGGGCCGCTGGAATCGAGCACTGCTCGCCCGAATCCATGGCGTGGCGTAATCGTCGGGTTGCTGAAGGTATGACCCACATCTTATCATGTTAGTTCATCTCCACACAATAGAGGGCGTACAGGTGAAACTACACGCTCAGTTTGCCGATGTGAATCAGCAGGGATCTTAGTTGAACGATCTCTGTCATGGGCACCATCGAGATCAGGCTGTGTGTGTAAGTAAGGAGCAGTAGTCACAACAACACTCATGTAAAACATACCGGGCTTTGGGGTTGGGGGGCTAGGAGGTGGCCTTGACATATCAACCTGATAACGAGCAGTTTCGCGCTGTAAATCTCAATTTAAAAACTCAATAGTACGAAAAAATGCTAACAGAAGTCCTGAGTCGATGATTCAGGAGGGGCACGCCGTTCGTTGTTGTTGATAAACCGAGAAGCCAAGGCACTGTCATGAGTGGTCGACGGTGGTGAGAACGTTGTGGTGGCAAAGGTATCTGTTTTCCAGAGCCTGAACGAGCAAGAGATGCACACGAATGGCAGACGGCGTTGGCATGAACGAGGAAGAGCGGATGGGTGAAGAATATGTATGTTCAATTGGCGGCAGATCTGGCAGGCATAACAAGGCTGCACCTGTTCGGATCATATTCTTCCGGATGGCGGGATGCATAGAGGGGCGGGCAGACAGATCTAGGGGGCGTAACAAGGCCACACCCATTCGGATCATATTCTTCAGGACGGTGGGTTGGTGCCATTGCATGGGGAATGCATAGGCAGATGAGGGGGCGCATGGATAGAACCTAGGAGGCGCAATAAGACCACACCAGTTCAGATCATTTTCTTCTGTGAGGTGGTGAATGAGTACCGCTGTGTGCCAAAGCGAAGGGGGGGTACCAACAAATCTGCAAGCATAACAAGGCCGCACCTGTTCGGATCATATTCTTCAGGACGGTGGGTGGGTGCCATTGCATGAGGAATGCATAGGCAGATGAGGGGGCGCATGGATAGAACCTAGGAGGCGCAATAAGACCACACCAGTTCAGATCATATTCTTCTGTGAGGTGGTGAATGAGTACCATGCTGTGTGCCAAAGCGAAGGGGGTACCAACAAATCTGCAAGCATAACAAGGCCGCACTTCCTCTGAGCATGTGAGCGCATCAAAAGAGTGTCTGTAGTTAGTCTTTCAGTAATTATTTCAGTCCCAAGTCAAACAGTCCTACCTAAGATGCGATCTCAAATGCATGATGATCTGCAAACTTGTTTATATAGAATGCTTTGAAAGCATCATACGAGTCGTAGTGTTTGAGGTCCTGTGGGATGGTATGTGTTCCATAGATTGGGATGAGGTGTGCAGCTGCGATAAATAGAATCAATGTGGATGATTCCAACTGATGGAGAATGGTCAGCATCATATGAAGGTCGTACTATCCACATCCCAGTGTCCTCGTCGGGTCTATCATCGGCTTTGTCAAACCAACACACCACAGCGCATGGGTATGAAACTGCCTCGAATGTCAAAGAGAAAAAACACATCACTCGTGCTATTTCCATCCCCCCCCATCCCTTCGACACCTGCATCTGTGTTCACAAACACGCAGTCATATCGCGGTGCCTCGTTTCTCCAAAGAGGACAAGCACGAATATGCTCACGGCACATGCCACCAATCCCACTGCGGTCGCTAGGTGCATAGAATGTCGAAGATGCGGAGTTGAAGACTTGAATCTTGCCATCGAATCGAGGACAACTTGCAAGCGGGACTTCAAAGGGAGACCGCTGGTCATCTGGGTTAACTTGTTCGAATAGGAATCGGCGGAGGAGGTTGTAAAGATGGGGGATAGTGAGTTCCGCAGATAAGTCAGGTACAGTTCGTGCGCGATTGCGTTCTGCGCAATGTTGAAAATTAAAAACAAGGTATTCACAATCAAATATAAGCTGGCTTACGGGGTGTTTTTGCCAACTGAACATGGGCCTGCACCAATGTTGGGCCGTCGATAACTTCACCCTCTTCATTGTCGCCCTGTATAGTGATATCGGGGTGGGGAGTAGCAGAATGCTACTCTCATTGGGTTGATCGGGCTGGTTGGCATGAGGTTCTGTATTTAACCGCAACCGCTCTAGTATAGATTTTAAGTAAACAATGAAGATGATAGCGCTCAAGAAACTCACTTAATGCTCGAAGCGTTTCTGACAGACAAGTGCCATTCAGCATCCCGCGGCTCTTGAAATCAATGCGCGAGGCTGCAAGTTTATCAAGGCGCTGGTTTGTCACCAGCATTTGACCAAGGACTTTGTAGCGACTTGAGCGCCTCCATGGTTCCTTTACGGCTTTGATGTGCTTTGTCTCAGTGATCGAGGCACAAAGGCCATTGGGTGCTCCAAACAGTCGGATTAGGAGGATGTAATGGGAACAAGAGTGTTGTCGAGGGAGGGAGAATGTGAGAACAATGCCAGTGGACTCAAAGATCTTCCTGTAATGATGGAATCGGTTGAGAGCATCCTGGATTTGAACCAGCGTGGATTCCATGATGATATTACGCCGTACGAGATAGCAGAATTCAAGAAATGCACGAAACGTGCGCACGACATCCATTGGGACGTGACCTTCAATGGCGGGTAGATAAACCTGGACTGTTGTTAGTCTGGCAGTCATGACATTCTAGAAATAACTTACCTTCATAAGCGCTTTCAAATCATCGCCGGTCCATTGTTTGAATCCTCGACCTTGTGGAAAACGTCGAAGACCTGAGAATGAAGCAACCGCAGCGATTCTTCCATGACGTGAGCCTTAAAACTTCGAACTTAGACAAAAGGACATACCTTCGATCTATATCATCTTAAATTTTTTCCGCTCCTTTCTTTCCATGCACGTGGTGCAGATACTTTCCAACCCACTCAACTAAATGATCCTTGAAGGTCCCTTTAATCAATTGATGTAGGAGGTCCAGTGCGATAAGTTCATGAATATCAGCTCGAGGGAAGTCATTTGTAAATGGCTAGCAGGGATTAAATTCTATCAACTGCAGTTCTACGAGAAGACTCATGACTTACAACAAGGTCATTGATGATCCCATACTCGTCCCATAGATCGGTAGAGTTTACTTCTTCAACAAGTGCTTCTGTATGGTCACGATTGCGACACAACGACTCAGAGTCCAAATTTTTGCGGTGTGACATACACCTGTATATTAAAAACGGTAAGGTGGAAGATACATTACAATTACTGCTAGGAACCTACCTTGGACACCAAGAGCGCACTATACACACTAATAGAACCTGCTCTTCATAATCGGCAATGTAGGGCCCAAGCCCATAGATCACACGCTGATAGTGCCCGTCACCAAAGCGCACAACCTCTGGTTTGGTCATGCCGGGTCTTAGGTTCTCAAGAATCTTCGAGATAGAGGAATGAAAGAGTTGCCAGTGATATTTCCGATATTTTGGGCAAGAGGCATGCTCCTTCGTAGCTGCTCAGCTGTAGTTAGCACAGAACAATAGTAGTAGGATGAATATTACTTTTTGGCATAGCCAGGAAGCCAATGATGGCAACAGCGTCACGATGTGCATGCTGGACATTATTATGAACATTCCTGATTGATACATACAGTGGATAGTAATCGTTAGCGCCAGTTGGCACTGAAACTGTCGTCTTGTCGCTTCCGAGTATAACCGGAACAAAGGTCGAGCCAGTTGTATCCGGATCTTTGGCAATGATATCCTATCAAAGATCATCAGCGTGTATAGCGACATGAAACAAGAAAAGAGAACATACCGCTTGGTTCCAGGCCCAGTCACCGGACATGAAGTCCTGCCATTGGCGTTCATCGTTGTCAGTCGAGAACTCACTGTAGGGCTGGTAGGCCATCTCCATGGCATAGTCAGGGTTTGCCAACATGTTTTGAACGACCTCATGGGGATCTCGATACCAAACGTTGTGAGATTGACCCATCCACAGTGGTACATTGTGTTCTGGCTTCTCCCCCGTGTACTGGACCCTGAAAGACTGCCATTTGACATCACCCACCGGTGTACTGTCAATGGTTTTATGTAAATCACGGCAGTCTGCAAACGGCGGCTTGTCGTTATGTTTCAGGAGGGTTGCAGCCCAAAGATCCAATAAGACATTGATGTCCCCGGCAGACATCTGGTTGCGCGTGTACAGGAATTCGGCAGTCTCGAATTCGACGCGATCCCGGTGTAGAGACTCGCGTTTCTGCAGGCTCATATGGGCTCATATTACGAATTCTGATGACTGGCCTTCATGGCACGACTCGCACTATCATCCACTATGACTTCCCTATAGAGCGCACCACTTTCCCACGGAACGCGCCATAGGCGCGACACTTTCCCGCACAATGCGCAGTATTCCCGTGTGCGCGCCTCGCGCGCTTTCTCGCGCTTAAGCGCACTATGTCGCACAGCATCCAGGAGCATCCATCCATCGTCCAACCAGTCCCTCGGTATGTCCCTTTTTGTTATCTGACCATATTTAGCATATTACACTTCCCATTTCGTTATGCACCCTTACTTTACATCACCTTACCTCATTTACATACTTAGAGCGCTCCCTATTCGGCTCCGAGCCCTGGGAGAGCGCTTAGGTAGAACTTACATACACTCATGTTCGTTTTACACCCCAAAACAATTCCACCTTACCTTCCTACCACTCAGTATCTATCATCAGTTAGTTCCATGCAATGCATGTGTCCTTCATCATCTTGAGGCCCTAGCATCAGTCTATAGCTAGTGGGCACTATCAGTATCCGTCTAGATCCGCACTTTCCCTCTTATCAGTCCCAGTATCCGTCTTCTACACTTGTGCACTGCTTGCACTACCTTCCCGCGCTCCGCGCACCTTCGCACTTCACTTTCCCGCGCGCGCCTTCAGCGCATTTCTCGCGCTTTCACCGCCATTTACCAGGGTTGTTCAGCATCATTCCGTGGATCCTTGCTTTCCTTGCTTCCCCTTTAGGGTCGAACGTTCTTGCATTCTGCGAGTATAGCAGCTAGGCAGAGCTGAGACTCACTTATACTGGCTGAGCACTTTTCTTATATGTGCCTGCCAGGTTGTGATACCCACACCGGCCCCACAAACTGCGTGTCCAGATGATCAGGCTCATCGAGAGCCTGACCTGCGTCAAATAAGCCTGCGGAGAAGTCATCATGTCCTGCGAAGAAGTCATTGTGTGGTTCTTCGGGCTCGTCTTCGACTGTAGCAGTATGTGAGACGCTGGTGGTAGGAGCTGATATGAATGTTGGGTGCGAAGCATTCCAGTGCTTTTTGCGCCCTGCCTGAGTCTTGAAGTAGCGTTCGCATTTCAAGTACCCACATGGAATCTGAAGGGCGCTGTGGTCCCTGCGAGCAGCCTTGGGCATCCGATGGTAGTCAAGTTGAAGAGCCGGCCGAAAATGCGTGATGACCCTAATAAGTTCAACGTACTGTGTAACAGAGTCTGATTAGTGTGTACATACTTGTTTGGGAGCTTACGAGTTTTTCCAACTTCCAAACCCGCCTGTCTCTCTCCAGCAAAAGTTTTGCCCTTCATCTTATTTCCCAAGTCGCAAACTCATCCCCTCAGTCATGTCTACCCAAAATGCTCCCCGTCGCACCCGTACATCAAATGCAACCACTTGGCCTGGCCAGATAGTGCTTGACGCAAAGATCAAGAGGCATACCAAAGCGCAAAAGGCCGCCGACGACCTTGCCCTCAAGGAAGCACAGGAAGCACAGGAAGCACAGGTCCAAAAAGGGCTGGAGCGCTTGGCTGGTATGCAAAATGAGATGGAGAAAGTGCAGGAAGAATTACTCAACAAAAAGGCGATCCCCGTTCGGCCCAAGCCAAGGGCTCGTAAGGCGACTAAACCTGTAGCAAGGAGTGGTGGTGATCATACTGACAACATGTTGGAAGCTGATGAGGCAAATGACCTCCGGGAGGCTGTCGAGACCGTGGAGGCTGTCGAGACCATGGAGGCCACCAATAACATGGAGGATGGAACCACAGGCGCAAATAAGAGGAAGGTAATAAAGAAAGGTGGAAAGGCGCTGATAAAGGATGCTATCAGTAACATGCAAAAGAAGATCAACGAACCATCATCAAAATTGGAAGGTGATAACGCCAATAACGTGGCATGTGTATCTGATGGGAAAGATACGCCAGCACCGTAAGGCTTCCTTCTCTCACCATCCAATGTTACTCCTCACTGAATCAACATTGTATTTCCTCAATCTCACTTCTAGTTTCAATGCTACCACTCAAAAATTCGCATTGGGTGGCCAGGTGACCAATTGGATTTCAGGCGTCAAGCCTGGAAAATCAGAACCCATGTCCCGTGCATCCAGCACCTCATTTCCAACTCAAGCGCCTCCATCATCAATTTTCTCACAAGGCACTGCCTCCACTGCGGCAACTTCGGATGCACAGGTCCCAATTCGCAAGCCTGCAGCTCCTGTTGCAGAAGCCCTCATTGGCGACTTTGCAGATGATATCGATGATACGTTGGAGCGCGAGGCCACTATTGCGCAAGGCAAGGGGAAATCGAAGGTGATGTGCCACTGTTTGATCATTAGTAGTATCTGCGCGCTAATTATTTGCTTCGTAGGTGGCCTCGATATTCGAAGATAACATGGACTTCAACGAGCCTAATGCTCCACCAGCGTATGAGTCGGATGATGATTCTGTGACTTCATTCACAGAACAGGAACGGTACTCGCAGGAGCCTCGGGCTCCATTCACACAGATCGAAAATCGCGGGACCCTCAAGCGAAAAGCTAGTGTGGATGACGTCTTCGATGACGACGAGGAGTCTATGGTGTCTGACTGGTCCATGGATATCGAAGGCCCCGATTTTGAAGACATGTTCGAGCCCGAGCCCGAGCCTCCAGTGGAGGTGAAGAAGGAGAAAGATCCGCGCAAAACATTTTCAGTAAGGACACTTAATTTAATCGCACTCACTCTGACGCTCGTACAGACATCAGTATTGGTTGTGACTGCTGTCCCTGCCAGTGACAGCAAACCACCTGCTCCCAAAAAAATCAAAGTCGAGGCATCCGCTGCACGTGCCCGCGGCACCAAATGCCAGCTCAACGTGGACACTGTGCCAGATAACATGAAACCTCATAGTGCGTATCGTAACATTGATTTACCTGCCACGTTGCAGGTAGATCAACGCTGGGCAAAGAAATATCTTCCTACCGTTATGTTATGGGCCGGAAGTTATGAAGACCTCTGGACTATCCCAGACGACGTTCTTCTCCTTCATGCGCAGCTAATTTTCAATGCAGTATTCAAGGAGCTCAATATCACTATTGTTCATGGTGGCGTGATTCATTCCCTTGTAAGTTTCCTATTTTATATCAAGCTTTACTGACTGTACTCGTAATTAGACTGCGCAGCAAATTTCTGAATGGCGCAGCAACTTCGGCTCGACGGGCCTGGTCATTATCGTGGACTTTTTGTCACGAAACTCTGACTGCGATTCTGTTCAACTTGCCGCCCACCTTCTCGCAGACTATGCATTCCTATTCGAGGACCCTGACAAGCCAAGCCCCCTCACGACGTACCGTTCTCCTTTTGTATTACAGCTGTTGGGTACAGCACATCTTAACGCCATTAGTGGGTATGTTGACGTTCCTGACCTCGACACACACGCACTTGTGACAAGGGCCATCAGGATGTCGGGTGTTATTGCCCTTTGTGCTGCAGCAGTAAGTTTGATTTGAGAATAATTTAATTCGCACTTATTCTTGTTTTAGATCGAGCGTGCCCTGGGAATGTTCGCGAACAAAAATTTGAAAGTCAAGGATATATTGGCGACCAGTTGCAGAGGTAAACTCATCATCAAACTACCCAAAGTCCTCAACAAGGTCACCGGGAAGATGACCAATGCCCCGTTTTTGTTTTCAGCAGCTCGCTGGGGCAAAGTCACTGCATCTTTCATCAAGTCTATCTCGAGCAAGCCTGCTGGGTACGTAGAGACCACAGTACAGATGGCGCGTGCTTGTACTGCCTTAAACGATGCCATCGAATCACCGCAGGGCTCACTTAACGACGACGAGTCAGAGGACGATGAGCGTGCTATGCTTTGTAAGTACTTGTCATTCCGGTTTCATCCAACTGACATTCATCATTGTAGGATGTTGTCTCTTCTACTACGCCGCCGGTGGAATCCCGCTGTCATACTATCATCATTTTCACCACCATTTTTGCCCCCACATGTCCACCATTTTTCCTGTACCCCCAGCTGGCTCTCGACTTTTGTATTAGAGAGTCTCCTTAATTTTACGCTTATCGTGTATGCCCCCTTTTTTATGAATGGCTTGTGCTGCTTTATCTGGTTTTTTAAGTGAATTAAGTGTGAAATAAGCGAAAATTCAGAGATGGAGTGGGCTTAATTAAGTGGTTCACGCTTTTTCACTCAAATGACTTAATGTCACTTTTCACGTCATTAAGTGACAAATTAAGTTAAAAAAGGAACTGGTGGTTTTCCTGATGCTGGCATACCTAGGTATACTTGTAATACTAGAATAAACATCGATCGGACTTCCAAATAAGTCGCGGCAAATCGGCAAATCGAACCGTAACCTATCGTCCACCATAGCATTAGTCAAGACCGCCAGTCTCAAATGAGTGGGCCACACCAATTTGGCCAGCCTCATCCTGGGCCGTCCCCACTCAACTTGCTCAACGACGACTTGCCGCAGCATGACGAGTACTTCAGTGGACCACGGCTGCCCAATCCTGCAATGGTAAACTTGTCAGAATCAATTCAATGCAAACACAGAAAACTCACATATTATTAGCCAGGGGAAGACGGTGTAAATGAGAATATGGGAAGACCGTTGGGCAATAACAACCTACCAGAAACCCCATTCATCCCCAGGCACAATGAGCAGCGTACACCTTCCCTGTCTATGCACGGTGTCAATAATTATATGAACCCCCAGCCGGCCGGTACACCATACCTTGGTCATGGAAACTTGCACACTCCTTTCTCATCAGGCAGTGAGCTGCGTTCTCGCTCACAGTCCTTGGCACCAGGTGGAGGCCACGACCCTGACTATAATCAGTTTGCACGACCTCATCAATCACACGGCGTGGGAACATACCCATACCAACGCGGTGGTTTGCTTTTCCAGGACCAAACTGGAGACATGCAGTACTCGGGTCCACAGGGTAGAACTGCCAGTGCCAGCGAATTGCTGCATCTGTCTGAAAGCATACAACAGTTTTGTAGTAATATTACGACCTCAAACAATGCACTTACAGCACAAGTGCAAACACTTCAAGGCGAGATGCAGGGTCTTAAGGGAGAGATAGCGTAGTTGAAGGAGGAGTATGAATCGGGCAAGGCCACTGGAAACAAGAAAGTGACTACAAGGAACATTTCGAATGAACATCCCAAGTTGAAAGTTAGTTTTGCACACATTCCTTCAGACTGGATGTAACAACTGACCATTATTCTCGCAGATGATCATTCATCCGATGTTTGCAGACCTGTGCAACATCTCTCGGTCCTTGGGTAAATCGGCACGAGCCAGGCTGTTGAATACTGTGAAGCCGTTGGAATCTGGCGAGGCTTACAAAGAAGTCGACATGAAAAAGATTTGGTACCCAAATTGGAAGGGTAACGTAGATGATGGGGTTAATGCAGCGTTCATTCAAGAAGTTGTCGATCTGGTCTGGGATAACGAAAAGGTGAGAGTTGGAGCTTTTTGCGACACATGTCCCCATCAAAAATGTCGGTGTATTCACCTGGACTCCGAGGCTTCGTTCGCCAAGCATCAAGAAGAGCCTCCAGGCCAGGGATTTTGAACAATGATCTGAGCTGCTCAGATAGCGGGAGATAGGGGTACTTGATGATGGGTGATCTTGTAGTGCGAAGATTTCCGCGTTTGGTTTGATCTGGAAGAAATAAGTCGATACCACAAGTTGTGCATGTATCATGCGAGTGTGTGGATCCTGCGGGGGGATAAACATCCCGGCAAATGGGACAAACAGGGAGTGCATAGGTAAACTTGTCCACACCGAGAACACGGTTGCTTGACTGGAGAGTGATGAAAGGTGTGTCGATTGCCAGTGAAAGTGAGACAAGAAGGCATGCAAAAATGGTAAGCAAGGCATTGCAAGCCACCCATGGCAGATGGAACTGCAGATGTAACCACGATACCAGTGCGTATATGGTGAGAAGGTGTGGGGGGACTGCAGTAAAGTCCTTATCATTATGCAGATTGAGTGGTTCCTCCGATAGGAATGGATCAGGGTCATCTTCGTCAAGTCTAGTATTCAAAACTTCAATGTCATCTTCATCTTGATCATCGAAGTTCGCATCTATATCAACCTCAGCTTCAAAGTCATCTAAGCCTTCCTCTGCTCGGTCTACATTCTGTTCCAGCGCCTTTGCAAGGTGTCGTCCAAAGGCACGTTGCTCAGGGTCAATAGGAAGTTTGTGTGCGTCATGAGCTGTCGAGGGCCGAGCACCAGCCATCGTTGCAACGCTGTATGCATCAAAATGATCTATGGCGGTGAGGTGATCTCAACCTGGCTGGGCTGATATGAAATATCTAAAAATGCTCAACCAGTATAAGTGAGTCTTGGCTCTGCCTAGCTGCTATACTCGCAGAATGCAAGAACGTTCGACCCTAAAGGGGACTGCTACTGAACACAGAACCAGATGAAAGAAAGACCCTTGAAGTGCGATGGATGCAGCGAAAGCGCAAGAAGAAAAGCGAAGTGAGCGCGAAGCGCGAGAGAGCGCACTAAGGTAAGCGCGAGCGTGGGAACGTGAGCGCTAATGCGCGCGTTGTGCGGAGAATACCGGATAAGGAAACGGACAAGGAAGCGGATGTGCAAAGTGAGTGCAAACGCAGAGTGAGTGTTATAACGAGCGCAGATAAAGGTCTAGTATAGGCGGATAACGATAACCATTGGAAACACAAAGTGCGCCCAAGTGGTGACTACTACTTTAAAGTAAAACCCAATAGCGAGGGAAGTACAGCAAAGGGGAGTAATAATGATGGTGTAGTAAGTCAGCAACTTTATACTATGGAAATCGCATCGGAAGCGGAAGGGATAGGAGCAATAAGCGCTATGAATACGTAATGACATGTAATAACGCTGCAATGCTTGTTACAAACCACGAGGCAAGGCATATGACGTACCAATGAGGTGGGTGGACATAGAGGGACGTTCCTGGATGATAGGCGATGCAGGGCGCTTAAGCGCGAGAAAGCGCGCAAGGTGCGCGTGTGGGAATGCTGCGCGTTGTGTGGGAAAGTACCGCGCCTATGGCGCGTTTCGCGGGAAAGCTGCGCGTTATGTGTAAAACGACTAGGGACATGATAGAAGTCGAATATAGCTGATGGTGCAAGTCGTGCATTGCAGGCCAATTGTCATGAGTTGTGAAAAGGTGCGGAATGTGCCTATATGTGCCTGCTGAAATGCGAGTCTCTACAGCAGCAAGGAGAGCATCCGGTGTGGGTATCACAACCTGGCAGGCACATATAAGAAAAGTGCTCAGCCAGTATAAGTGAGTCTCAGCTCTGCCTAGCTGCTATACTCGCAGAATGCAAGAACGTTCGACCCTAAAGGGGAAGCAAGGAAAGCAAGGATCCACGGAATGATGCTGAACAACCCTGGTGAATGGCGGTGAAAGCGCGAGAAAGCGCGCGCGCGGGAAAGCGAAGTGCGAAAGTGCGCGGGAAGGTAGTGCAAGCAGTGCACAGGTGTAAAAGATATATACTGAGACTGATAAGAGGGAAAGCGCGGATCTAGACGGATACTGATAGTGCCACTAGCTATAGACTGATGCTAGGGCCTCAAAACAATGATGAGGACACATGCATTGCATGGAGCTAACTGGTGATAGATACTGAGTGGTAGGAAGGTAAGGTGGAATTGTTTTGGGGTGTAAAACGAACATGAGTGTATGTAAGTTCTACCTAAGCGCTCTCCCAGGGCTCGGAGCCGAATAGGGAGCGCTCTAAGTATGTAAGTGAGGTAAGGTGATGTAAAGTAAGGGTGCATAACGAAATGGGAAGTGTAATATGCTAAATATGGTCAGATAACAAAAAGGGACATACCGAGGGACTGGTTGGACGATGGATGGATGCTCCTGGATGCTGTGCGACGCAGTGCGCTTAAGCGCGAGAAAGCGCGCGCGCGGGAATGCTGCGTGTTGTGCGGGAAAGTATCGCGCCTATGGCGCGTTTCGCGGGAAGTGGTGCGCATGATGGTGGAAGTCATAGTGGATGATGGTGCGAGTTGTGCAGTAAAGGCCAGTCATCAGAATTCGTAATATGAGCCCATATGAGCCCACAGAAACGCGAGTCTCTACACCGGGCTGCGGACATTGGGACCAAGATTGGGTAAGGGGCTGCCTGGTGTTGGGATACCTAAATCTTCATCTGTAAGCGCCGAGTCCAAGATGGCATCATCCAAAGGATCATTGAACTCTGGAGACAAGGGAGGAGGAGGTTCATGTAACGGAACTGAAAATCCTCGAGGAACTGGTCGAACGTCTGCATGAGCCTGCGGGACATGTTGCCCGACACATCAAGTAAAGTGGGCCTGATCAGCAAGAGTTCTTTGGCGTAAATCAGAGCACTCATGTGAGCGAGAAACATAAGGTGGGACAAGAACACCGTTGCAATTCAAAACTTTGCAGTAGCAGCGTACAAGAGGTGCCATGTTTCTAGAGGGTCAGAAAGTACTCAGACATGTGTTTGGTAAGACGCGTTGGTCTTGACATGTCACATGACTTGGACTTGGAAATGCAAGTGCGCTCACGACCAATAATCAGATAATTACATCGAGCCCTGGAGAGTCAGATCCTGCACGTTTGTAACGTACTACTGTACAAAATGAGTACTATCTTATGCTAAAGTTTCATCAAACGTAGGATCTTGTTGTTTTTTCTGAGGCCGAAGTGAGTAAATGGTGGGGAGTACACAGAAAAGAATGTGTTACATACCATGTTGTACCAGCGAGTAAATTCCACTGGCGTTGCAGGCTCTGGAGACTCGAATGGTGGCTGTATATCAGACTCTGGTTCGGTCACGCTATCATCAACAGCGTCGACCAGTTGCCCAGTACTACTAACAAGTACTCGAGCAGCACGGTTCTTAAATATGTGCTATTCAGCAACACGAACGAATATAACTGCGAAAAACTCACGAGTTCTTCAACAGTCGGCTCCGACTCAGGTTCAGTCACACTATCATCCACCACTGGAGGACCTGCCTTAGCAGCGCTCAATAAAAACGATTGATATTCCTTGAAATTTATTCAGTGACATAAATCAATAGAACTAGGCAAGGACATACAACTTTCTGGTCCTTCAACCAATTGTTAAGCACTCCCGGCGTCTCGGTGTGCGTGTCGCTGGTGTCGCGACCCTCTGCAATACCAGCTTGTGAGCTTAGCTGCTGGAGAGGCTTTCCGATAGATATTTCAACGGTCTGCAAAGAAAATTAGTTGACATCAGTTTAGTTGCACAAGGGACTTACTATGGGACCTGGTGTTCTGCACTCAAACGTGAATTTAAATGCTTTCACCTCCACGGGCAACTCGAGCTTGATTGCGTTGCGGGCTGCCATAGCGTGAGTAGTAAGTGCAAGCTGTAACGCAGGACTTAGACGAATTTTTGAAAAACTTACTTTGCTCCAAGCGCGACCTAAACAGACATCGAAATATTGAATATGCGGTGTTGATTAGTGGTGGAATAGCAGGTATTTGAAGAGAATAAACGGGGTCCGAATAGACGTGTTGACGAAGTTGGAAAAGTGTCTGTTTACATGTGTTGCTCTGGAGGGAGCGAGCAAAATTTGCGACATCTCGGATTTACGTCTGATTACAAGCTAGGTACGTTTAGAGTTGTGTTACACGCGCCGTCTCCCTCTAATTAGGGTCTGCCTAAAATGTCGTTTCCGCAGTGACTGTGGCGCAAGGATAGACATAGATACTCTTGATAAAATCTGTGCAGTGATGACAACAAGGAGGGATTATAAAGTCACAAAGGGTCATAAGCATACAAATGGCACAGAAAAAGGCATGATGTGCAGTGATGTCATCTTTCGAAGTTGTGATATGAGTCTTCTGTACACGGTGTAGAGACTCACGTTTCTGCAGGCTCATATGGGCTCATATTACGAATTCTGATGACTGGCCTTCACGGCACAACTCGCACCATCACCCTCTAGTCATTCCCTATAGAGCGCACCACTTTCCCACGGAACGCGCCATAGGCGCGACACTTTCCCACACAATGCGCAGTATTCCCGCGTGCGCGCCTGGCGCGCTTTCTCGTGCTTAAGCGCACTATGTCGCACATCATCCAGGAGCATCCATCCATCGTCCAACCAGTCCCTCGGTATGTCCCTTTTTGTTATCTGACCATATTTAGCATATTACACTTCCCATTTCGTTATGCACCCTTACTTTACATCACCTTACCTCACTTACATACTTAGAGCGCTCCCTATTCGGCTCCGAGCCCTGGGAGAGCGCTTAGGTAGAACTTACATACACTCATGTTCGTTTTACACCCCAAAACAATTCCACCTTACCTTCCTACCACTCAGTATCTATCACCAGTTAGCTCCATGCAATGCATGTGTCCATCATTGTTTTGAGGCCCTAGCATCAGTCTATAGCTAGTGGCACTATCAGTATCCGTCTAGATCCGCGCTTTCCCTCTTATCAGTCTCAGTATATATCTTTTACACCTGTGCACTGCTTGCACTACCTTCCCGCGCACTTTCGCACTTCGCTTTCCCGCGCGCGCTTTCTCGCGCTTTCACCGCCATTCACCAGGGTTGTTCAGCATCATTCCGTGGATCCTTGCTTTCCTTGCTTCCCCTTTAGGGTCGAACGTTCTTGCATTCTGCGAGTATAGCAGCTAGGCAGAGCTGAGACTCACTTATACTGGCTGAGCACTTTTCTTATATGTGCCTGCCAGGTTGTGATACCCACAACAGGTCTTCTACTAGGCTAGTAACGTAAGGCAGTGGTAGCATAGAGTATAGTAACTACAGAGAGAGTAGTACGATTGACCATCATGAAATGAATGGTACAGGGTATGGTACAAGTTGGAACGAAGGAACAAGAGCAACATATTCTGCTCGCTGCTCATCTGTCACCACACTACCGCTGACGATCAGACTCTCCAGTGGACACTCTGACCGTGCCAGGAATGCCTTGAACTCCTCATGAGGCCACTCTGGTACAATGTGAACAGTAAGTACGCGTAGAGTGGGGAGTGAGAGAGCATCGAGCAGGTCGCAGAAATCGTCATCATAATAGTCAAAACTGATGTGTAAGGTTTGAAGGTATGTGTGTGTGAATGGGTTTAATGGTTCGCCGGCGGGGGATAATATGCCAATCGTTAAGGAGGATAGGTTTGGAGCTAGCTGGAGCAAGTGGAGAACATCTTTTGCTTCCCATATTTCGATGTCAAGTTTTGTCAGATGGGCCCAGACGGGACTGCAAGAGGTCAAGTCGTCGAAGTCGAGTGACCACCCTGATACATCAAAACTGCGCAGAGTAGCCGGCAGTTGCGAGATAGAGTGTAAAGTACTAGCTGGCATATCACCATCAGGGATATCCTCATGGAAGTACACGGACATCTCCTCAAGTGCTAGGAGGTCTCTGAACATATTAAGTGCAGGTGTTTTGCGATGGTAAAATTCAACAGAGAGAGATGAAATTTGATTGATGTAAGGCTGAAGAAGGCGTCGTAGCTTGGTCGAGTGATCAACTGCGTGGAAGTGGATTTTTAACGAGAGTGGTCGTTCTCGTGTTCGTTTGAGCCAAGAGTCGTAGCAGAAGGCTACCTGCTGCCAATTTCCGTCATCAACTTCCACAAGCAGCACACACCACAAGTTGGGCATGTCCACAACAACTTCCCTCCACCGTCGACATATTCTGGTCAACGACATAGGTACGGCTAGCTTTGATGGGGACTGCAATTCGCCAAGTTTCGGAATTTGCGGGAGACAGTGGCAAAATATTTGGGACAGGACTTCAGTTGGTAAGCGCCAAAGAGGTGATACGAGCCCCTTGTGCAAATTGATGGATTCAATGATCTTGTTCTTCTGCTCAACGAGTCGCTGCTGAAGAGTGTGGGACGCCATCCATGACTGTTTGCAAACTTGAGATGTCGTGCAAAACGGTGTCCAACTGGTGTTGGCGTTCGGTGATAATGGTACTGATGCTCTGGCCCTCGAGCCCAATTGCACAGTGATTGGGATTGGGGATTGTGGTTCGGGATTCAGAGTACGGCGTTTCGAGGTCGAGTATCTCAGGAGGCTGCTAATGGTCAATAACGCATCGGATGAAACATCCTTACAGACGTACAATTGTTCGTGCCAAACGTAGCTGGAGCAAATGGTTGTTATTCGCAGAGGAACGTCCAAAACTTGGGCACTTACGATAGTCTGCAGCGCAGTAATGATATCCGAGACCGTCGAAAGATTGACTTTTGACTCTAAATTGATTGATTGCATATTGCGACTCGCAAAGTACGTGCAGCTAATATGTACTCGTGAAGAGAGTTCAAATATCATAGGCGGAGTCTAGATCTGGCATATACAACGATAAATACGATGTACCGAACTTGACAAGTATGAAAAATGTATATGTGCGGCATGGAACCGTCACCAAAGCATCCACCATACGTGCGATCGCTCGATTATATAGGATACAATACGGAATTCAGGAGAGGCAATCATTTGGTGGTCTTACAAGTTTACTGTGAGACTTGAGCTCGACTCGGAAGAGCCGAAACGCTATATAGCTGCGATTAAAATCCGCGTTGATGATATATATCACATACGGTAGTTGAATTTTGTGTACTCTACGCGTTTGCAATGCTACGTACTACGCGTTCCTTCCAGTACGATCTAGTTTGATCGTACTCCGATGGACGTAGATCTGAGACTTGCAGAAACTCGATATTTACAACAATTTAAGAAAAGTTCTTTGAGGCCCAAATATTATTCACAGAATATAAGAACACGAATCGTAGCTTGATGACAACAAGGAGGGATAAAGTTACAAACGGTCATAAACATACAAACGGTACGACAAAAGGCATGATGTACAGTGATATCATCTTTCAAAGTTGGGATACGAGTCTTCCGAGGCTAGTAACGTACAGTAGTGGTAGCATAGAGTATACAGAGAGTAGCACAGCTGACCATCATATGGCGAATCTGTAAGGAGTAGTGCAGAGTATCAGCGCAATACAAATTGAAGCGAAGGAAAAAGGGCAACGTATTCCTCTCGCTGCTCATCTGTCACCACACTACCGCTGACAATCAGACTCTCCAGTGGACATCCTGACCGTGCCAGGAATGCCACGAACTCCTCATGAGGCCACTCTGGTACATCGTGAACAGTAAGTACGCGTAGAGTGGGGAATGAGAAAGCATCGAGCAGGTCGCAGAAATCGAGCGTCTCTCCATCATAATAGTCACAATCGATGTGTAGGTGTGGAGGTTTGTGTGTGTGAACGGTTTCCAACGCTTCGCCGTCAAAGAATAATATGCGAATCGTTAACGAGGATAGGTTGGGAGCTAGCTGGAGCAAGTGGAGAACAGTTCCTGCTTCCCATAATCCGATCCCGAGTGTTGTAAGATGGGCCCATACGGGATTGCAAGAGGGACACGTCCCTGATGTTGAGTGACCACCCTGATACATCGAAACTGCGCAGAGTGGGCGGCAGTTGCGAGATAGAGCATAAATTATTAGCTGGCATATCACCAGCAGAGATATCCAGATGGAAGTACATGGACATCTCCTCGAGTGCCAGGAGGTCTCTGAACGTATTAGGTTCAGGTTTGCCGGGATGGTAAAAATCGGCAGAGAGAGATTTGATTTGATCGGTGTAAGGCTGAAGAAGACGTTGTAACTTGGTCGAGTCATCATCTGCGTGGAACTGAAGTCTTAACCAAAGCGGACGTCCCTGTGCTCGCTTGAGCCAAGAGTCGTAGCTGAAGGCTGCCTGCTGCCAATTTCTGTCATCAATTCTCACAGACAGCACACGCCACAAGTCGGGCATGTCATAACAACCTCCCTCCACCGTCGACATATTCTGGTCAACGACATAGGTACGGTTAGCTTTGATGGTGGCTGCAATGATTCACCGAGTTTCGGAACTTGCGAGAGAAAGTGGCAAAATATTTGGGAAAGGACTTCAGTTGGGAAGTGCCAAAGAGGTGATACGAGTCTCCTGTGCAGATTAATAGATTCGATTATCCTCTTCTTATGCTTCAAGAGATGGTCCTGAAGACTGATGATACCATGTATGACTGTTTGTAAACCTGAGATGTCGTGCAAAACATTGTCCAGCTGGTGTTGGCGTTCGGTGATAATGGCCCTGATGCTCTGGTCTTCGAGACCAATTGCACAGTGATTAGAATTGGGGAATGTGGTTCGGGAGTATGGGGTTTCGAAGTCGGGTATCCCAGGCTGTTAATGGTCAATAACGCTTCGGATGAGATATCCTCAGACATACAATTGTTCGTGAACATAGCTTTCAGGAGGCAAATGGTTGTTATCCGCAGAGGAATGTCTATAACTTCGGCACTTACGATAGTCTGCAGAGCAGTAAGGATATCCGAGACCGTCGAAAGATCGTCTTTTGAATTGATTGTTTGCATGTTGCGACTCGCAAAGTACGTGCAACTAGCGTGTACTCGGGAAGAGTGCTTAAATAGGCTCTGAGTCTGGTATATACAACGATAAATATCGTGTACAAGTATGAAAGATGTATTATATGCGGCATGGAACCATCACCATATGTGCGATCAATCGATTATAATAGGATATAACACGGAAGGAGAGGCAATCATTTACAAGTTTAGACTCGAAGCTCGACTCGGAAAGAGCCGAAACACTGTATAGTTGCGGCTGAACCTAAAATCCGCGTTGATTACATTTTGGGTTCCCTGTACAATCGTACTTCGACGGACGTGTAGTCTTACTTGTGGAAACTCACAATTCAAGAAAAGTTCTTTGAGGCCCAAATATTCACAGAATGTAAGAACACCGTAATTTATATTTCGGAGCCATTCATGATCACGCTCTCGAACAACCCTGCGAACAAGGACTCTCTCGGCTCAATCGGTCGGAGTTTCGTTGTCCGCTGCCCATATGCCTAGCGCCCATCCTCAACGCTGCATACCACGACTACAACAAAATCTATCATGATTGTAATCTCCCCGTATGATACATTCCCATCCTATTTTGGTCTGGCCGCCTCTTTCATGCACCCCACACCGCCGTGATGCATCGGCACATTCGCCTGCCTCCTTCGTGGATCCTGCGCCCGCTGTCACCATACGAGTCATTTTGATACATCACTAGCACTGATCACTGCCAGCAGCATCATAATCAGTAACTGCCGTCTCGTCCCAATTCGCTACCCAATTTCATTGCAATATCAATAGCCCATCTCATCGTACCGCATACACCCTATGAGTCTAGGCGCTATGCCTGATGCAATAAACCGCCGACCGAATTCAGACTTGCCCACAGACTCCTGAGAGTGTTCATTTCTCGGACGTTCTCCCACCACGACTGCTGCTGCTCCCACTTTCCTATCTACAACTGTCAACCTCGCGCCTTGATGCAACGATCAGACAGACTGGTGGACGATTGTCTCGTTTCTGATTGTTTACTTGTTGTACTCCTACTGAATATACCAAAGGTCGTCTGAAGATTTCTTGTCCAGTTAATGATGATCTCCCCCATCTCATCTGACATACCATAACACTCATCTCATCCATCGAGATACATGAAGCTGTTTATTGCATACTCATCTATAGTCATGGTAGTACTGCAAGCTTGATTATTGGCAGCTCGACAAAAACAGTGAGAGCATCGAGCAATCTATGGATGGGTGTATATGAAAGCGAATACTAGCGGAGACAGTGGAAGGTATCGATACACCATCAATTGAAGATGAGTGGCAGTACAGTAATAACTCGTCGGAAAACAACAGTTCGTAAAAATCAAGAAAATAGCGAAGGGAAATACATAGCGTCTATTCACATGACAGTGAAAATTTGTACCAATCATGCAATCTGCCGAGTCGCCGGCATACATGCCTAACTGCCGGCCTTACCGAGCAAAGCATAGCCACTTCCTGCTGGACCGTGCAGCTACGTTGCACACATGAGGAATGCGAAAAACAAGAAAAGAAAGGGTAACCGCACCTTTGAGTAGCATCGATGGCAAAGGGGATCTCCGTCTTTCTCCGTCAATCTAGTTGAATCTAACAGAGTATTGCACTCCTTGCACCTCAAACACCCCTTATGCCAAGTCTTTCCTATGGCCTTCATCTGTCATATCCCACACACATCAGTCAAATTCGCATCAGCCTCTTGATAAGAATTACCTGTTCAGCGAAATAAACACTCTTCCCACACCGCGGACACGTTGGAGTTGCGCCCGCAGAAAAGACCTTTACGGGAGTGCCACCACCACCGAATGCTACGCCATACCGTGTGCCGGTGGAAGTTGGGTGCAACGGCGTCATCGGAGATGAACTTGACCGTGCAAGTGTTACAGGAGATGATTTCGGGGTAGACGTAGCATTTGTGCCATTGCTCGCTGATTTAGTCGGACTCAGTGGGACAGTACGCGGCATATCGCCAATGCGTACTGTGCTAGTAGCTGTCCCCGCAAACGTGATGGTTGGGGGTGACGTGGATTCTGCTGGCGTCTCTTCTCCCACTTCCTTGTGGTGCGAGATCGTGTTGACAGATTGATTTGTGGTTTCAGAGCTAAGCTCGACAATGGGATTGATGGGTGAGCGATTGTACCGTGCGGGTAGGACCGAGTTCGCTTTGAGGATGGGCGGTGGCAATATGGGACCGTTCGTAAAGCGCCCTGTGCCTGTGTTGTGTGCACGCTCGGGTGATCGCGCACCTTGTCGCTGGCTTAGATCGACTGATTCACCACGCATGAAAGTGGGTGTAGGGAAGGAGTTGCGCACAGGTGATGCAGGAAGTGGTGGAGGTGTGGCCATGTCATTGCGATGGGGGAGATTGGCATGCCTCAGATCGCGAGTGCCGAAGTTTCGAACGTGACATGTTTTGCTGCAATTCAGGTCAATGATCGGAAGACATACAGAGTCGTGGGGGTTACCAGTATGGCTGAGCAGGGAAGGGTAAGCTACACGATGCACGACATCCTCACAAGTAAGACGCACCTCCTGATCGTGTTCAAGAAGCGTCAACGAATCTAACCTCTTATTGCACGTCGTGCAAGCCAGGCAAGGCTGATCGGACTTGTGGTAAATCACACGAACCGAGGCATGTGTGGGGAGCTCACCTTGTGATAGAGCTGATTACGTTGATTAATAACATTTGTATTACAGAGTACTATCGATCAGCCCACCTTCCTGCCAGGTCCCATCACCTGTCGGATATCATGAGAAATTGCGAAGCATGAAACGAGGCTACTCACCTGTTCTGCGGCATAAACAGCCTTGCTGCATCTAGGACATATCGGTGTACCGCCAAACGGGTGCATGGTGGCTATATAATTGACTTCTACCTGATCAAACTCGAGTCTCGGATTATTGCAAGCTGTAAAGATGATTGTTCGTCCGACGCTTGTCGCTTATGCGCGACTATGCTGTACTTTGGATGAGTAACGGGAAACATCCATCGGAGATTGAAAGCTATATCGCTTTTTTGCTACAGGCCAAATCTTTCGTCTATCGCCATCTCCCTCTTATCCAGTTCATAGATTTTTTTGTTTTCTCTCCTTATTCCGCCATCATGTCTGACGATGAGCAACACAACCAGCAGTTCGAGCAGGTGCGCCTATTTTATCTGCAATGCTTCGCGATCATGATAGACCACTGATCTTACGATTGATCATTATTTAGGCTAGCGCAGGTGCCTCGCTCACTTTCCCTATGCAATGTTCTGCGCTCCGTAAAAACGGTCACGTTGTCATAAAAGGTGCGTTAGACTGTATCTTCTCTGTAATGCCGGCCCGACAACCTCATTTCAGGTCGTCCCTGCAAGATCGTTGAGATGTCCACCTCTAAGACCGGAAAACACGGTCACGCAAAGGTCCATCTCGTCGGTGTCGACGTGCGTCTATGTTCCCCTAAACCTACGAATTGCTGCTTCAATTTCCGATCATACAGATCTTCACTGACAAAAAGATGGTAAAGTATCGGTAATTGGCTTGGTCATGAGCGCTACCGCTTACGGCTCCCGTACCGTCCTTTTTATAGGAAGATATTTCCCCTTCCACCCACAACATGGACGTTCCCAACGTGACCCGTAATGAGTACCACCTCGTGAGTGTGCTTCTTACCTTCGTCTCCTGTGGTCACTCAAACCTGCAGTAGCTTGATATCACCGAAGGCTTCCTCAATCTCATGACCTGCTGACGGAGGTACTAAGGATGATGTCAAGCTTCCTGACGGCAAGCTTGGTGATGAAATCACAAGTGGCCTCGAGACCGCAGAAGTCGTCATGGTCACGGTCACTGCCGCGATGGGCGAGGAGCAAGTACGTTCATCACGCAGCGCCCTTACAATTTTCCGGTTCTTAATATGCGTCCTAGGTCACGTCTTTCAAGGTCACCAATCAGTAGACGTACGTTTTTGCTTTGATCATATGCTCTGTGGGCGATTTTCACACAACTTGTTATTAAGGTCTTTCGCTTCTGATGACCGTACACGTCCTGTCGTTTTTCTGTCACGTCAGCTATTCTTACTTTCAGTCAATATCCACGCATGTACTTTTCATCAAGGCATTGTACTGAATGTACATCAGTATGACTAGGTTCCTGTGTTGGAATAAAGAATTATGTATTTCATGTTGTAGACAGGAGGCATTTATGGAGGAGATCATAGTCCCCCGTCGGTTCCGAGTCATTTTTCAGTCGTTGCAGTGAATACCCTCCATATAAGAGTTAGTATCCCTACAGGCTTCCGTAGCATATTGGAAAGCCACCTGCTAAGCAGAATGAATGGCCACAATAGTTCTTTCCCCCTAACTATCGGCAACGTGGCAACATTCTATCTGCTGTGCATGAGACGGGATGACCTCATGCGACTACCTTGCCACGAAGTCCCCAGCCGTATTTTCCGTGGTCCGCAGTGATACCTACTCGTGGAAATCGTAGCACAGGCTGCACAGCAAGCAAACAACTACTACACATTATTTTCTAAAGTTTTTATTTTATTTATTTATAGTCTCTTGTTTGGTTGAGCATCATCTTACATTTGAAAGTGCACAGGACCTCGCTATTTTGATTCCTTGCACAGTGACCACGACAAGTATTATCACCCACACGGACCAGCCCTCGACTCACTAACGGATTCTTGAACATGTCCATCTCTAAGGAAAATCCAGATTCTGACCTCTACGGAGGTGAGCATTATTTCATGTCGTCGGCTCTAGGGCAACAACTTGCATTACACAGACCTGTACGATGACGAGTTCACTGTTCCACTGGATGACGAGGCCTCCCCTACCACCGAGACTCCTCCGCAAGCAGACAAAAATCCTGAACCTGTGAAGATGGAGACTTCAACGTCGCCCACGTCAGCGTCCTCGCTACCTGCTAAACCTCAGTCATCAAAAGGCGACTATTCTTTGTCATATTCAGCCCAGGTGGCAAAGCAGTTCTCTGCGTATCAACAGACACCGAGCCAGGAGCGTATACAGAAACCACCTTTACCCCTTCCACCAAATCCGAGCCCACAAGGTGGGCCTTCGGCAATAGCAACACACGAGGGACCGACCGACAACCATGCCGACAGGCCTATCCGACCTTCAGAAATGAAAGATGAAGGGTAAGTGCACGCTTGCTACATGTATGGTTATTTTGTCCCTGTATTCTCCTGGTGGAGAAGCACTTCTAGACTCAGTTTCCGTTATGTCATGCACGATAGTTTACTCTTGTCGTTCTTTCATGAAAGATGAACGAACAGGAGCCTGACAGTTACGGTACATGCCGCTGCACTGCTACTACTGCTTACAGTCGAGCTTACTATCTGCACCTACACTCTGCGCATCGCCTATGCTCCGTCTTTTATACTCTCATGGCTACTTGCTATAATTGGTCACTAATCACTTATATCTTTCTGGATACTTCCGTGGACCCATCGACACGCTCTACTCTTACTACATGCCTTGCCTCACCTACGGATCCTTGCCTCACTTACGGTCGTCACCTCCAATAGCAAAATGTTTATTGGAGGCCTTAACTGGGACACTACAGACGGTATACACCCATGCAATGGCAATCAACTTCTATCTACTGACTACTATCCTATGTTGTTCTTCCTATGAGCAGAGGGTCTAAGGACGTATTTTTCCCAATTTGGCAAGGTAATTTATTTTTGTATTTAAGCTGTCGATGAATGTCGTGCTCGGGTTATGATACTGACGAGCACTTAAGGTGGATGCTTGTACAATTATGCGCGACCCGGATGGACGCTCAAGGGGCTTCGCTTTCTTGACCTTCGATGAACCAGAAAGCGTGAATGCTGTCACTGGAAGGGAGCATATATTGGACGGAAAAGCTGTCAGTGTGTTAGTTTTGCAAATTCTTCAATCCCACTAACGTAGCCAATAGATTGATCCGAAACGCGCGATTCCCCGAGAAGAACACCTGAGAAACACGCGGTACTTTGTCGGTGGTCTCGCCCCCACTACCAACGCAGACACAATGCGCGAGTTTTTCTCGCGGTTCGGCAAGGTCGTCGATGCGACAGTCATGGTCGATCGCGAGTCGGGCCGTTCCAAAGGCTTTGGCTTCGTCACTTTTGAGGACTCGAATAACTCTGATGAGTTCGTGGGGAAACTCGGGCTGATGTTGGATGATAAGCAGGTACGTGTGTGTGCGCTTACCACATTCTCCTCTCAACATGTCGGTCGATAGATCGAAGTGAAAGCTGCTCAACCACGAAGCCAGCGCGATCAAGCGCGAAACATGCAACAAGGCAACCGCGAGCCCTATTTCAACGACTCCGATTCACGCACGCCCAACACGTCCGCAATGGCGTTTCCACAACAGGCTAACTCCGCAGCCACTAACATGCTTTATCAACGTGTGATGAGTCATATGCCCATGATGGGAGCAGCGAACATGAGCATGATGAATCCCATGATGATGGGCATGGGCATGGGCGGCATGGGTGGCATGAGCGGTATGGGCGGCATGAGTGGTATGGGCGGTATGGGTGGCATGGGCGGCATGGGGATGAACATGATGGGCGGTTTAAGTCCAATGGGTGGTATGGGTATGAACGCCATGCGGATGGGAATGCCAGGGATGATGATGAACGCTGCGGGCGCAGGTACGGGAATGGGGATGAACAATATGGGGATGCGTATGCGGCAGGGCATGACTGGCGCTGTTACGCCGAACGCGAATGCAGGGCGCATGACAATGAATCAGGGACTGGGTCCATCGAGAATGTCGAGTCGTGGACAGCATTCATTCCATCCATATGCACGATAGTATACGGATGTTTTTATTTGCTTTGCATCTGCTGATCTGTACCATATATCACCACTAGTTATTTAACCATGCATAATGAGTGCATGACGAACTTCTTGACGTCGAGTCCCAACGTTTAGTGGGCTTACTGAGGCCGGATCCGGCATGAACGTCGGCGTAATAAAACTCCGACCGATTGAGCCGAGCGCCACCAGACATTCCCGGGCCACAGTCCGTGACAAACTGTCCATTAGTAGGCAGACTTTCTGCGTAGTGGATGGGATGGCGTCGCAGCCAGTAGCCTAGTACGGGTGGGTGGGGGTGTAGCGCTCCATTTCTCTTGGGAGACCGCGAGCCGCCTGTAATTGCGGATCAGTGAGTCTGACTGGACAAGTATGAAATATATATATGCGGCAAATTGGACTCTCTTTGAACTCTTCCCAATTACAAGTATAGCTAGTTGCACGTACCTTACGAGTCGCAACATGCAAACAATCCGTTCAAAAAGCAATCTTTCGACGGTCTCGGATATCGTTACTGCCCTGCACAGTGCAGACTGTCATCGTATTAATAAGTGCCGAAGTTTTTAGACACTCCTCTGCGAATAACACTTTTCGCTTCAGCTATGCTCACGAGCAATTGTACGTCCGTGAGGATGTTCTATCTGATGGGCCGTTATTGACCAATGATTAGCAGCCTGAGATACCTGACCTTGAAACCCCGTACTCCCGAACCACATTCCCCAATCCCAATCACTGTGCAATTGAGCTCGAAGGCCAGAGCATCAGGGCCATTATCACCGAACGCCAACACCAGTTGGACACAATTTTGCACGACATCTCAGGTTTGCAAACAGTCATGGATGGTATCCACACTCTTCAGCAGCAACTCGTCGAGCAGAAGAACAAGATCATCGAATCTATTAATTTGCATAAGAGGCTCGTATCACCTCTTTGGCGCTTGCCAACTGAAGTCCTGTCCCAAATATTTTGCCACTGTCTCCCGCCAATCCCGAAACTTGGTGAATTGGAGCCACCATCAAAGCTAAGCCGTACCTATGTCGTTGACCAGAATATGTCGACGATGGAGGGAGGTTGTTGTAGACATGCCCAACTTGTGGTGTGTGTTGTCTGTGGAAGTTGACGGCAGAAATTGGCAGCAGGCAGCCTTCTGCTACGACTCTTGGCTCAAGCGAGCGCGAGGACGTCCGCTTTCGTTAGGACTCCAGTTCCATGCAGATGATGACTCGACCAAGCTACAACTCCTTCTTCAACCTCACATCAGTCGAGTCTCATCTCTCACTATCGATTTTTACTGTCCCGACATACCTGAACTTATTATGTTCAGAGAACTTCTAGCACTTGAGGAGATATCCATATACTTTTATGTTGATATCTCTGATGATATCTCACCTAGTATTTCACGTGCTATCTCGCAACTGCCGTCTACTCTGTGCAGTTTCGATGTATCAGGGTGGCCACTCGACTACAGCGACTTGCCCTCTTGCAATCCCGTATGGGCCCGTCTTACGACACTCAGGATCGAAGTATTGGAAGCAAAAACTGTCTTTGACTTGCTCCAGCTAGCTCCCGACCTATCCTCGTTAACAATTTTCATCTTATTCTTTGACGGCGAACCGTTAGAACCGTTCACACACACAAACCTCCAAACCTTACACATCGATTGTGACTATTATGATAACGAGACGCTCGATTTCTGCGACCTGCTCGATGCTTTCTCATTCCCCACTCTACGCGTACTTGCTGTTCACGGTGTACCAGTGTGGCCTCATGAGGAGTTCATAGCATTCCTGGCACGGTCAGGATGTCCACTGGAGAGTCTGATCGTCAGCGGTAGTGTGGTGACAGATGAGCAGCGAGAGGAATATGTTGCCCTTTTTCCTTCGCTTCAATTTGTATTGCGCTGATACTCTGCACTACTCGTTACAGATTCGCCATATGATGGTCAGTCGTGCTACTCTCTGTATACGCTATGCTACCACCGTTGTATGTAACTAGCCTCGTAGAAGACTCATCACAAATTTGAAAGATGACATTATTGCACACCATGCCTTTTTTCGTGCGGTTTGTATGCTTATGACTTTTTGTGACTTTATCCCTCCTTAATTGTTGTCATCACCGCACAGATTTTATTAAGAGCATCTGCGTCTATTATCTATCCTCGTCCTTAGCTAGGGCGGTGAACGTGTCATTTTACCTACCATTTGATTGACATGTTGGGCTTCCTGAAAGACATGTTCAATTTTCTAGGTCACCGAAGCCAATCGGAGCAAGACGACCATTGCAGACAAGATGTACTACTAGATCCCAGCCGCACTGGCAGCTGCTCGGGTGCACTTTCCATGACGTTTCCAATATCCCCACCTCCCTGCATAGACTTTCAACGCCACTTCCGATATGTTTCCTGTCACGTCCCATTGGCACTCCATGTCCTACGCAAATCCGAGGCACGAGAACGAACATAGGAGGCCTATGCGGCACCTAAGTCTTTCGTGACGCATCTTTCTTGCCCCGCACCACGACTTGCAAGGTCAATTCTGCCCGACTACACTCCCGCTTCGTTGCATTTCCATTTCTACTTGTTATCTGAACTATAGAATACTCCTCTAGTAACATGCGAGCGCTCCGCTTAGTTCGGTCCCAACCCGAGGTAAGGTGAATCTCCGATGAAACCATCCATGAGTGAGTGTCAAAGTGTGTTCCGATAGAAAAATACCATGTCGTCAGCAGGTTTCAAACCTGCGCAGTCCAGTTGCATGGTCGTAACTCTACAGTACGTCCAGGCTTGGGCGGGACCTATGGGACCCCAACGCTCTGGTGGATTTGTTGATGGTCGGTCTTTGACGCCACGCAGGAAACACTGAGCTCCTTCTTCAAGCAATTGATGCGGGCTTGCCAGTCAATCTCACAAATGACAAAGGTGCATCCGAGTCATCGGCGCATCCCAGCCCCCTGAGTGACGTATGACACATTCATTTAGGAAACAAGACGACCTTATTGATGATCGCAGCATATGCAGGCCACGGGGGATTGACGGACTTCTGCAACGGAAAGCAGATCCAAATAGGCTCAACGATCTTGGTCAATCTAATATTGCTGGCGCTGTGTTTAAGTTGCACGATGAGGTGCGTATTCTGGCTGAGGCTGGCGCAGATCCGAGAATAGGCAAACCCATCGCAATAGAGGCAGCTCATATATTTGGTCGGGAGGAGTTGATGGAAGTACTCGGCGCAAAGCAGGGTGACATCGGCACTGATGTGCCTACCCCTTCTAGTGCACGTTCCGATAGATAACCTGTACTACCCATTCAAGTCGATCGTGGCAGGTCATGGATATTAAGATGAGAATAGGATAGCTCTTGCAAACCAGATGAAAGCACCCATTGCTAAATTGCTCCCATCCCCTTCCCGAGAACCTGTAATGCCTTCCTCGCCAGTGTTCTTGCATCTATCTCCATTACATCGCCACCCTCTTCCAGAGCACCGATATGAGGCTGCAGAAAATTGCCTCCCCTCTCCTTTTCGAGTAGCGAGGAATTCGTGATCACCCATGTTGATGGTGTCTTCCGAGGGATAGAAGCGATTTCACACAACACCGAATAGAAATAGAAGAGATGAGCGACTGGCGACCGTTGCGCCACATCCGCAATGAGTGCAGACGGTGAAAGAGTGACATCGATAGCTGGGCAGACGTTCAGCGTAAATCAGATCACAGAGCAAGGGAGCAGGTACCGGGTTGAGAAACACTAAATTTCGATGGCGACTCTGACAGTGCAGCCCACAGAATTCCTGACGAAAGCCGTAAATCCAGGACCTTGCGAAGTATATACAACAATTCATCTTCACGAGCCCTATCAAAGTTGATCCAGCAACCGACAATAATGCAATACGATCACAATTTACCTCGGGAAAGGCACATAACCCCGAAGAGCCTCGTCAGCAACATAGTTCACCATTATAGTTTTACATCGATCAAGCAAGGTTGGTAGACAAAGTGCAGCAATTCGCTTCCTTGAAGACTCTTGGTCTAGGAGAATAGTTAGCTCTGGAAATACGCGCAGATGCATTGGGTTACCGCTTGTAACATTAGAGCATATCGAGAACAAAAGATCAAAACACCAAAACGAAAATCGCTCCCTCGGAACCAGGACCCCACGTGTAGTTGATCCGATGTCGAGGTCCACCTTCTCGAAGTCATACGAGTCCCAAGAGTCGTCTGACACATCGGTATCTATCGAGGGCGAATCAAGGTGTGAGGGATCCGTACTGGACTTATACAGCTGGCTGCCTTTGTGCAAAACCTTTGCCAACTGTACGATGAGGTGATCAGGGACTCTTGTGTCTCCCAAATGTGGCACAATATCAATCTCCAATGAGCTGATGAGAGAGAGATCGAAGCTTTCCTCCGCTTCCTGATCTTCGAGTGAGAAACCCTCTGTTGCAGTACTGTGAACAAGTTGGTCGTTGGGTGTGGGAAAACGACAAAATGAGAGAAGAATAAAATGCGCACCGGTCGGCCAAAATGCCACCCCGAAGTACTTCAATGATTTGTCGCCATATGCCCTCAACTCGAGTATCGGATATACCTGTATTTTATGATTAGATGAAGCCAACCAGATCATTGACTATGTACGATCGCCGAATGCTGCCATTCTTTTGACCGAGTCGGTGACTATACGGAGAAAACTTGTTGTCGCGGTCTTCCACAGAGCATCTCTGCCAAACTTTAATGGAGCAGGATACTCGTACTTTAACTTTATCGATATTGAATAGGCCTGAACACGAAAGCATGTGAGTATCCGAAGACCAAGGACATCGTGAACGATACGCACCGAGAAGACAGCTTCCATAGTCCCATCTTCATAGATCTCGAGCTCATCCTTGAAGCACATGTACAACTCTACGATAAGTGGCATGACCTTCTTGGATAACGCAATGTACGTGTTTTGTTTTTGAAACGATGTCGCAATAGGCGTTCCCGGGGAATCGGGAGACAAGACGGGCGCATGAAAAACAACCGGAAACGGAAGTGTGCTAAATTCCGAGAGATATTGTAGGATGAGAGATGGGACACCAGGTCCCATTGGGCTAATATCCGCGATAGCGTCTAAGACCACTACCTGTCATATAAATGAGACGGCGGTGTTCGGTAAATGCTGAATATCCACCTACCTGGAGAGGTGATAAACCATCAACATCCGGGCGGTAGTCCGTCGAGTTAGGATAAATAAGAATACCTGTGCATGGTTCAGGAAGAGAGACTGCGACCGACATAGAGAGACGTACCCTTGAGGATTTCCATCAGACGATTGAGGCGTTGAAGCGGCCATTCCTTTGTCTGGGTCAGACTAATGGAACGTGTGCTCCGTATGACGTCGACAAGAGTAACCAAACTCTCCTGAGTGAATGCACGGTGGAGCTGTGCCGCATTCGTACTCGGAGAGAGCTGAGATCTCCCATCCTGAAGAACCATGCTCCCTATATCACTGCATGCCTTCCATACGCATTCCCAAGCCTCCGACACTTTGACTTGCAGAGAGGCGTCTGCGCCAGAAAGCGCTTTCACCGCTTTCCCCAAACAAAACAGTGCAGGCGGACTTAAGTTTCGGCGGTCCAAGGATACGGTATCGTGAACGTGGGTAACAAGCACGGACCATGCTTTCGAGAAGGAGTCCAGATGCATGATCTTGTTGACTAGGAATTCGCTGGTAATAGATCCAATCGACTGCAATGCGAGACTCTTCGATTCGTCCCATGCATGTTCGGGAGACTGTGCTGCCAGACCAGAGTTCAGCAGAGCTCCGGGCTCAAAGACGCTGCGCCGGGTTTCGATAGATATTGCGTCGAGTAGCGGAAATATGATCTTCCATATGCAGCCATTCCATGTGTCCAGAGTCAACGTGGCGCCGTAAATTTGCATTGCACGGAAAAGGGTCTTGATAGCGCCAACACGAACTTCGTGTCTAGCGTCAGTACAGAGACCCAGAACTTCTAGCAAACACATCCACAGCGCGCTATATCCCGGTTCCACCTCTGCATCCTTCCGCTTTACCTGGATCGAATCTAACACACACCAGAAAAGGTTTTCTGCAGTAGCAAGCGCAATGGTCGTGTCAGCTTGTCGACCGAATTGTCCAAGGGTTGTGATGCAAAGCCGTAAGTCTTCAGGGGATAACACAGACACGGAGTCGCAGATAAGTTTGAGGGACTGGAAGGCGATCTTCACCAGTGTCGTGTATTCGCGGTCATCAACGTATCCCAGAGGCAGTGGTTTTTGACGGGGCGTCTCTTGAAGCGATAGCGTGCTGGTGGAATCGACCGACTGAGATCTGGAGAGAGGCGCAGGTTTACAGATGCTCCCTAGCATCTCAAAAATGCTACCCCACCGGACAACAAGAGTATGTCCGGACGCCTGTAGAATTTGGTACAGGGTCTCCAATCCCATTCGCCGGAGCTCGATATTCGTGCTCGTCACTGGGACGTCGGATGATGCGGGTACTATCTGTTTAAATAGAATGTCGAGAATGCGACGCTTTACTTGGGCCTGCAGGTCTCCAGTGGGTAACAAGTTACGCGAGACCACAGTAAGGATTTCATTGAGAACGCGTGCTGCTTGCACTCGTATTGACTGCGGCGCTGCGGAGAGACCCATGATCCACAGAAGATGATTTGTTGTAGTGTTCCATGCAACCTCAGGTGCACAATAGATGAGGCGATGAAGGTTCAGCATTGCTACTGAACCCAGTCGCTCCACACCGAAATCGCTCTGACGCTGAGAAGATGTTAGATCTGATCGTGGCGTAAAAGAAGCAACCCTGACTCACCAGCGTGCGCGGCAGATGAATTCTGCTGACGCGCTTTCTGTGAGGAGAAATCGGTACAGGACTCAAGGAATCGTCTGACTCCGTCAGCGTATTCCCACCAGATTGCATCCCGACCATCTTTGAGCTAAGTTTACAGAGCGCGGCGACAAAGTCCTGAAAAGCTGAATCCTCCAGGTTTTTGGACGCATCAAAGAGGCGCTGCACGGCAGCGAGCACGCTCTCTGAATCGATATCCTTGAGGAGGGAGTGACGACCCACTTCCCCCCGTTCAGCAGAGCTCATCGCTGACACGGATGGACGGGGTGGTATGGGTGTGCCCATCCGCCGGTTGGTAGATGCTTTGATGTTCAAGATATAGTCTGCGTTCTGTAAAGCTTCCAGAATGCCATACCAGCTCTCTCCTAGGCTCCCGGCGAGGAAAAGGGCACTAGATACCAACACTTTGAGACATGCTAGATTTCGCTCGGAAAGTCCTGGAGCTTGGATAGGTGCTGTCAACCCCAGGTTATCTGTGAAGGAATTTGACGTTCGGGGCGTCGGAGGTTCAACGTAAGACTCCAAGCTGGACACTACTCGGGAAGGTATCGCAAATTTAGAGAGCGCGTTGAACAATGCGTCGCGAGGGGTGCTGAGGGCGAGCATCCCCGCAACGTTCGTCAAGGCTTGATAGCTGCTAAGGACGTCCACAAAGAGCTCATCTGACAGATTTGTCGAGATAATGAAGGAAAGGGCTGCGAGAAGCGCGGGCCAGCCGCTCTCAACCATACAACGCACAATGATGAGGTGCTGAGTTGCAGGATCGTCCTGCGGGAGTGTAGAGAGGTCAAGAGCGGCAGGTGCACGAATGACGGGCTCGCCAGCCGCTTGAGGATGTTGAACGATGATGGACGTGGCCAGTGGGCCGGTGAACGACGCGAAGCCTTCACATAGGGAGACAATACACTGGACAGCGAGAAGGTAAATGTATGCTTCGGGGATCGGTGGCGAGTCCGCTTTGTCTAATTGATCGATACTAGTCAAGAAAGATGGCTCAGCGTAATCCGCGAGATGTGAAATGGGGGCTGTACCATTGCACCTTCATGGCCGAATTCTGCACGCTCTCCAGACCGTAATTGGATCCCGATGGTGCAGCACTATCATCAGCATGAGAAATTCCGGCTCCCATCATCTGCGCGCTCACTCCGAGTAGAACAGGTTTCTCAGTAATAAGGCGTCTCAACGCAATCACAAGAGAGCTGAAGACCTTGGAGCCCGGCTGCTGCGCGTCATAGCGATCCCATATGTTTCGCACAAGCTCGGCATCGCTGCATACCCTGAAAAGAAGCATTAGTGTACACTTTGAGGCATCAAGCTTAAGACATACCCTCTCATTATCTCCATCGCAAGGACCCTTGTCCATATTGGACGTGAGCCAGAATGATCCGGATTCGACGCGTCGAAATCTTCTGAGACCATTCTTATGAGAATCATTAGGAATGCTTCAACTTCTGCCTCCAGCTCGAATAAGAACTTCGTCAAGATCAAGAACACAACTCGCGTGCATCTGAGTGTCAACGGAAATACATGTCTGTCTGAGAGAGATTTCAGAATGAGTGGACAGAGGTAGTGTTGCAGCAACATCAAAAGTTCCGTGTGCTGCGACAAGCATCAGTATGAACTAACTGAATGGGATCGACAAACTTGCCTTCCTGAACAGCTTGTGGTAGTTCGCAAGTACACTCTCAATTAACTCCAAAGCGAAGGTCTTATGTAGGTAGTCGAGCTTCAAGAAGTTGAGCTTCTCTGAAGTTGCGAGGAGACAAAGATCTTCGAAGACAGAGAATGCATCTTTGGCGCAAGGCCCTAACACTTTGGTGCTACCGTCCGGAAGCGCCGCTTGAGACAGGTCCGGAGTGCCGTTGCTCTCTTGACGATCCTCGTTGAACATTTTTCCAAAGATAATCATGACCAGTTGGCGCAGGGTAGCTGCAGCTGTTGAAGAGACTACAGCGATCCTGGAATCCTGCAGCTTAAAACAGAGAAGTAATGCCTTTGGCAGGTAATCAGACAGATACTAGGAAGAATAGACAGAGCGTACCTCTCCCAGGAGCTCTCCGTGTATCGAAGGAAAATCGGTGATCAAGGAGACTAAGGTTTGCAGGATCCGAAGTTGAATGTCTACGCCTTGGCTCATGGCATCGTTCATTGTGCTTACGATGAGTGCGACAGCAGACTGCGGTACAGCCTTGAGGGCTATCAACCGCTGCAGCGACCCCAACGAGATGGCGACGACTTTGGCGTTCTTCGTTGCGCATCCCATAAACAGCGGACGAAGAAGATCGTCTGACTGTATACTGTCTGTGGGTGAAAGATGAAGAAAACGAGGCGCATTTGAATGGAATTACGTACCAGAGGCCAAAGATGCTGTCGTTTGCCCTGGAGAGGACCTAAGTATCGCAAGCGACTTCTCTGCTGCCTTTGCGTGAACATCATGATAAGGCGCCAGCCTGACTACGTGAGATGAGTGTTTTCCGTCGTACCTCGCGTATTTCTGGATGCTTTCTCCTCGACTCGTTGGCAAGGGACTTTGTACGAAGGTATAAGTGGACGTTGGTGGTTATCATTCTAAACTCAAACACACCTGCAATTCAAGTTCAGTCACTAGGAAGGCTAGTGAACTCATCCCGTCCTTGGATTCTTCTGAAAAAGATTTAGACCAGTCCCAACAAACTCCAGCAGGTTTCTATCAGTTACTGGGGAACACAGCCCAGTGTACAGAAGATCAAGGGTTGAAAGAAATTGACAACTAAGGAGTCGAGATTCATAATTATTGTGTTTAGCCCAGAGAATGATTGGGCGCTTGTTCCTGCTGTGTATACTTGGGTTGGCACGACTCACCATCATGATGCCACCCACTGCAGGCGTGTCCTATTGCTATAATCGAAGCATACATACTTGCTTCAGCATCATGCACCCGTACGTTCAACTTCTACTAAATTTCAAAAATTGACCATGTGACTATAGTAACACAGATGGAGAATCCAAGCTCAGGTGGGTGAAGCTCGCATGCAGTAGACTTGGAAGATTTGATCACCAAATACATAGTCAATGGTAAAACATGCCTGCAATAAAGTAGTACGTAATTAAGTACGGCTATGTCCTTGGACTCCTTGTTGTGTCCTTCGTGTTATTCTGAATAGGATTAATTGATGTGATGCGCAGCTGCAATGAGGTTTTATGACCTCAAAGGTGCAATACCCTGGCCCCATGTAGTTCTCGAACAGAACATCAACCTCACCACGGCTTTGTGGCTCACTGTTAAATTCCTCGGATCGCTGAGCACTCACCGTATCATTTCCCTCGCACTGGCAGGTCTCAAGTTGGTGTGCCAGTCTTGCAGTTTCAGCTCCCTAAGTGTGTATTCACTTTGATCTTACTCCATTTTGCACTCAATCGGACACCCTTCACAGCGAGATGGCGAGGTCGAAGTCATCTTTGCTCACTAACCCAGCAAACAATGTGGAGAAGTGTCGAGCTGCGTTGCGGGCATTGTCCTCCAGGCAATTTCACGTCGATCCTCGTCTCTGAACAATCTCGCACTCAGTCTTCGAGACAGATTCAAGCAGCGTGGCATCATGTCTGACCTTTATGAGGCCATCGAGCTCCATCGCGCTCTGCATTACTCCTCCGTCCCCCGGTCACTCAGATCGATCCTCGTCTCTGAACAATCTTGCTATCAACCTTCGAAGCAGATTCGAGCAGCGTGGCATCATGTCTGACCTTGATGAGGGCCATCGAGCTTCACCGCGCTGCATTCTCCCTGTCCCCCGGTCATTCACTTCGATCCTCGTCTCTGAACAATCTCGCACTCAGTCTTCGAGACAGATTCCTGCAGCGTGGCATCATGTCTGACCTTGATGAGGCCATCGAGCTCCATCGCGCTGCATTACTCCTCCGTCCTCCCGGTCATTCACGTCGATCCTCGTCTCTGAACAATCTCGCACTCAGTCTTCGAGACAGATCGCATCATTTCGATGTCAGGGAGGCTGTTTTCCCTTGCCACAGATGCTTTCTCATGCAGTGTTCGTCATTGTGCGCTGACCACTGCGGTAGAGCTTGTGGAGCACGGTCGCGCAGTATTCTGGACCCAGTTGGCACGCTTCAACACACCACTCGATGAACTTTCTGTTCTAAGTAGCACTGGCACAGCATTGGCTGAAGAGTTCAAATGGTTGAGTTTTTCACCTTCATAACGCGTTCGATCAGTCTACTGGAGGCCAGTCTCCCCAAATCCGGCAACTGACCATGCAATGGGATGATGTCGTCTCGCGCATTCGCATGCTTCATGGCTTTTCGCGTTTCTCCTGCCTCCCCTGTTCTCTGACCTACAGAAAGCGGCAGAAGATGGTCCAGTCATTATTCTTAATGCAAGCCAATATGGCTGTGATGCCTTGATTATCCATAGCACAGAAGATCCTGTTCACGTTTCGCTTGACACTACGCAAGCCGAAGTGTCCGAGTTCTCCTCCGAGTTCCAGTCACTTGCAGAGGTGTTCGGTTCTTCTAATCGTCGAAACACGCTTGTTCGCATCCTTCGCAAGCTTTGGGATCGTCGTTCAACCTATAGTCCAATCCCTCGAGAAGTCCAAAGTTCCCCCTCGCTCGCGTATCTGGTGGTGTCCCACTGCTGAATTCACGCTTCCCATCCATGCAGCAGGACCCTACGAGGAGAAAAAAGACAATTTGTCTGACATTTACATCTCTTCTTACACCCCCACTTTGGCGACTCTCATTCGTGCGAGAAAGCAGGTTTCTCGAGATCCGTCCTCGCAACATTTTGTTGCCATTGGTCAAGCG